GATAATTCTCACACGGGATTAAAAACGTATTATTTTACAAATATTGATTATTATCTTGGTTTGCCTAATCTACTCATATCAAATAATAACTGTTTATTAAGCTTTTAAGGTATGTAAGCACTACTTTCATGTTTACCTGATGTCTGAGTGGCCCTGTTACATTTTTCTTTGATTGTCTTTTTGGTTGAATACTTCATACAATCTTATCAAGTAAGCTTTCTGTCTAGTAAAAATGTCTAATTTACCTCTGGTCACAACACTAACTTCCTTAATCTAATTCCCAGCAAGTGAGTTTTTTTATTAGCTTTTATCCCAATGGCTGAAGCATTTTATCTCTCCTCTCATTTTGTATTCCATTGAACACAGAGAGATTTCAGAGGGTAACAGCCCTTCTCCCCACTTATAGTAATGGCTTACAAGAAGGATTTGCTTCCTTTATAGGTTTCCTATGTTTAAATAGTCTATAGCAATATTATGATGCTTATTTATCTCACTGCATCTACATCACAGACAAGGTTTCCAAAATACAGCCATAGTTTCTTCTAGTGCCTTTGTCATTTGCCACATTAAGACTCTAAGCACAGGGTAGAATACTCAGAAATTAGACAAATTAAGAAGTGTCTCTACCTACAGTAACTTTCCCTCAATAAAAAATATAATCACTCTTTATACATCCGTTTGTATCATCATAGTGCTTACTGAAAATTCTGGAGGTTAGTAATTTGAAAAATCTTACATTTTTCTGTATCTTCTACCTACACAGGGCATAATAAAAGTCACACCGGAAAACTGTTTTCATGAATGGCTTTGATATATTTCCAGTAATCCAACAGTAAAAATAAAACACTGCCTTTCTTAGATGGTTAAGAATCACATCAGGGAACTAAGGAGACTCATCATTCCCGGATACATGTTTCTGATGGGAAAGTCATGTAAAATATTCTCTTACCCACCTGTTATTTCAAAAGTGATGGATAGGTAAGGTGCAGCACTAGACTTCATTGCACTCTGAATGCTACTTTCTGAAATAACAGGGAAATAGCACCGTAAGCATAACCTTTCTGTACTTCCCTTCTCAAAAAACTCAAATAAAACCGAAACAAAACAAAAACAAAAAGGTTTTGGTGAAAGTGAATTAAATTTTTTAAACTGTAAATAAGAACTGCAATCATAATGAACTTGCATGCCATGTGGGATGTTGTAACTCTTTTTGTTTCTTTACAGCACATGAAAACATATGACTTCTTGGTCATTTTGTCTGTACTGTTCAATTATTCTTCCTTCCATTTATCTTTCCATAGGGCTTTAATATTTTTACAGGCATATCACATCATATATCATTATATAAGCTCCTTGTTTTCTTTCCCCATCAACCCCAATCTCACTGACTTATACCAGTGTAGAGTATTTGATATGTTTTCTACACAAAAATACTTGTTTCTTCTTTAAATGTATATACTATAAATCACTCTAACTTTCACAATGTCTTGCCAAATTAATAATTTTCTTTTCTTTTTTTGGTGCCAATCCTGGGGTATAAACTCAGGGCCTGGACTTTGTATTTGAGATTTTCTTTGCTCAAGGCTAACACTCTACCATTTGAGCCACAGCTCCATTTCTGGCTTTTTTTTGCCAGTTAGTTGGAGAAAAGAGTCTCACAGATTTTCTTGCCCAGGCTTGCTTTGTCTCATGACTCTCAGATCTTAGTCTCCTGAGGAATTAGCAGCCACTAGCACCCACTCTATTTTCTTCAATTTATATCTATTCCTTGAGGCATTATAGGTGAAACCTACTTTATTTTCACTTTGAAATCTACAAACAATAAATTTATATCAAAGAGTACAAAAAATAAGAGTAATTTCATTACCTTCCTAGGATTTACACAGGGGACCAACACAGTCATATTCTAATCAGGGTAAATTTCATACTATGTGTTCAACATTATTTACAAAAGCTTACTGGATTTGTGACCCAGCTGGCTGAACAGAAATTATCAGGGGTTTTCCTTATAACCTTTTATCATAAAGAACTTGTCAAACATTCCTCTAATGTAATGTAAGAGATATTTTACTCATCTCAATATTGTGTCAGGATTTCAAGAGTTATCTACAGCCAACATCCATGCATGTGTTCTTGTAGACACTTCAATAGCATGTGGAGACATTTTTCCCATTTTCTAGATGCTAGCCCCAATTTAGTCAATATTCAATGATATAATTCAACTGACACAAAGAACATAAAACTCATAAATATTATACTAAAATACTTTATGAGTATTTAATCATATATGTTTTGATTAGTGGTAACTAAAGCTACTATTCACAAACAGAGTTTTTTTCTGTATACTCTTGGCTAGGTTAGTTAACAGTACATGTACTGGTGAGTAAAATCTTCACACTAATGTGGTCATTATTTTTTATGCAATGTGACTTGCCAAAATAACACCAGAAAGTTATGTGACTTTCACACCACTTGCTTTCTCTTTTTGTATCAAAAAGTTTATATTGAGTTAAGATATTTTCAACACCTTCCACATGAAAATAACTCATATGTAGATTATTGTGAATCTTCAGAAGAATAGTGTGGTATTTGTTCTTGTACTGATTACAATATGAATTGCTTGCTCTGTGGTCAGATCATTTATGGTGGGTAACACACAAAGTATTTTGAAATTTTTCTTAGTAGGACTCATTGAAGGACTTGATCTGAGGGATATCACTCTATAAAGTGAGGTTTTATTTTTTTCCTATTTATTGAAGGTAGATAGGCAATGGCCCACAGTCCAAATATTTTCTATTCACACGTATTTGTAACTTGTTCTGTCTCCCTGGGACCTGGGGTATTGAACCTTCTATTATTAGATGGTTTCCTATTAGGAAATGGAAGGAATCTCGGAGAGGAAACTCACGTTTAATGTGAGAAGAAGAGCTAGATGTAACTACTAAGGAGAATTAACTCTTTTGCCAAAACTGTAAGAAGCTTATTAGTATTCTTAGTATGTGATATAAAAGGACATAAATTCCTAAATTACATGTTACACACTCAGGTTATAAATATTCATTGTAGGTGAAGTAATTATTTCCCTATCTGTTGACCTTTTCTTTGGCATTTGCTTAATTTAACAGATACATCTTAACAATGATGCACTCACACGTGCGCACACACACACACACGTGTGTGTGTGTGTGTGTGTGTGTGTGTGTGTGTGTGTGTGTGTGTGTGTGTGTGTGTATGTGTGTGTGTGTTCTTTTCTTTCTGTGACTTTTAGTTTTGGTCCTCTGCAATGACTGACAGGAATTAAGAGACTCTGAAAAACAATTGTTAAAAAAAACTAGCTGCTATTGAGAATTCTCAAAGAACTCTTGAAAGTAATAACCTACAAGACATAATTGACATTCAGAAGCTAAAATCTGATCCACCTCGAGCAATGAAATTATACTACTCTGAAAAGACTGCTATAATAAATCTACCTAAGAGTGTTAAAAATGCAGCTATTAAAGTGGCCAAGAAAATATTAATGCACTAACATTCCATGGTTTATGCTGCTGCCTTACAACCTCAAGATACATTAGTAGTAAAATGCATCCCTAGGCTAGATTCCTAAATGAGTTAACATGCTGTGTAGACAGAGAACAATTAAAGTTTGGAAGTTGCTAGAACAAAATTTCAGTGATTATCTTCCATGGATTACTGTTCACTAATGTCATTTCATTTTGTGGGGACAGAAGAACCAGCTTTGCTTTCTTTTTTTTTTTTAAGTATTCATTTGTCTTTTTTTTTCTTCTTTTTTTTCTGATTACTCTTGTTCAGATTCCTTCCTTGAATAGTTTCTTTTGGCTTTCTTTTACTTGCTCGTATCAGTAAAGTGTTTATACTTATTTCAACCAACCACTTCCTAGGGAGTTCTATCTTGTTCTATCTACAACTGTCCAAAAACAATATGTTCATCTTCACTAGCAATGAGTTTCTTTTTTTAAAAGTTATGCCTTTCTCTCTCTGGTATTCTTCATCTACACTGTAAGTTGTATTCACTGTAAGTTGCCAATCCATCATCATTCTGCCCAAGTTATCAAATGATAACTGCTTACCTGCTGCATGAAGGGATGTTTCCATGATTCCAATCTAACCTCACTCTTGTGGTACATTCAAATTGGATTTTAAGTATTTGCTTGTCTGTATGAAATCATTAGGAATCTGTCCTTACCATCTTATACACTTTTCAGAATCATGCTGATAATCAGTAGATGTAAATTGAAGGGATTGGTAGTGGAAATCCTCCTATCCCTCAGATCAAGTCAGTGTTGACTACCTACAGCACTACTTATAGCATTCATATCCATGATATAGTAATTCACTATAAACTTGATCTAACAATTTTATAATAATATTAGTTTTATTAATATATAATTTGGGCCCTATTGGATTCAGTTATCATTTTGCATTCTTATCACATCTTACCCCCTAAATGAAAATTAAAAATAATAACGAGATCTAAAATATCTCTGCCAAACATTCAAAAGGAAGAAAAATATGCCTTTGGGATAAAGCACCATTTTCTGTACATTTTATTCTGTATTCATCTTAAATTCGCACTAAATCACATTTTAAAAATGTGAGATTTATTTTTTCAAGCTCATTTTACTTCCAGACTAAGGGGGGAGGTATACTTTTTTTTTAAATACTTGCATTACACACACACACACACACACACACACACACACACACACACACACATACATGCCTTACAGGACAAAATTTCGTTTTAGTTTTATAATATTATTGCTATATTTTAATGCCTGAAGGCATTTAAGTAAAAAATATAAAGAGAGTTGCCCGCAAATCGGAAGTGACAGAAGATGGAAGTCTATTAATTCTCTAAAATTGTCACATAAGCTACTGATGATTGCAGCAAACGCCAGGAAGCAGGATCTTTATGTCCCTCCAGAGCAATCACATGCCCTGCTTGCCATCAAAGAGACATTTGAAAGAGCCATGCTTACCCTCTTTGTCCTTATGGGTTCTTAGGTGGGAGAGGAGATTTTCATTGGTTTGCACACAGTACACCTCTCTGGTCTGCACACCTCCTCCGCACAGGGAGGTCTGGTTGCCCCGCCTCCTGTCCTGCTGACTGAGCAAAGGGTCCACACGGCAGTCTGTCCACTCCGTAGCTCTCCAGCCATACCTAAGCCAGGAAAAGATTCGTTTTCGCCATGTTTGCAAGATGAAATGCTGCTCTACACCTCTCAGGGTTGACTCTAAAAATTAACCTTGGAAGTTTTTCTCTAGACTCCACCATCATACGCTGGAAGTAGGTTGAAACATCACTCTCAACTAACTTTGTTATCGTCCGTGGCATCCCATTTCCAAAAAGGAGATAAATTTAGATTGATCTTTTTTTAATTGCAACTACTGGAAGCCCCTTATAAATATTTTATGAAAAAAAGAGGACAGTGCTTAAAACATGAACTTTTATGTTCAATTATGCTGAACCCCAGCTTGCCCTTTCTCGATACTAATGAACACAGGAGAGTTGAAATCTGAGAATGGAAAATGTTCTAAATGATGGGAACTCACGCATTTGTTTTACCTTTAATGAGGTGAATGGAAATGGCTTCTTTATATTGGAGTAAAATTATAATTATGTGTTAGAAGTAAAAATATAAGAGAGCAATTCAGAGGATTTTCTATTGTCAAGATTGTTTTTTCTTAATCCCTCTTCTCCTCTTTTTTTTTCTTTTGGTAGTTTAGCATTTCTGAATCCTTGATAAGTACTGAAAACTAATGAAAAAGAGTTGACATTTCTAATTAATGCTGTACAGGAAAAGATGATCCGTGATTCCCAATTAAAGCTCCAATCAAGATTATGATGGGTGCCAGGGGAATCATCAGTTTACCACATGCTTGAAGGAGAGACAGGGAACCATGGCCTGATGTCATTGAAGATAGAAGGTGATGGCATTTCTCCACCTCTAGGAAAGAGGATATTCTAAAAGCCCAAAGAAAATAGCTCATGTAACACTTGGTATCACTTAACCAAGATGCTTTCCTAGTAATCAGATTAGCAGCCAACATAGGTAGAAATGGATGTGTTAATGTTCATCTCAATTGGACAAAAAAGGTTAGCCACCCTTACATGTTTGATCTGGATACTTTGCTCTGTCAAATATATAGTTTCTTAACAACAAAGGTGAAATTTTTCCTAATTTTATTTTTGTAACGGGGGATTCATGGTTTCTTAGAGTTGTAGAACTGTCTATTAACGAATAACCCTCTTGATATTGTTTATGAAGGAAAGGCAGGGCTCAGATCAGTTTTAGAAACACAGAAAACTGATGCCTGGTTGCAGGGATAGAAGGAAGTAAAACAAAGTAGGTCATTTAGTCAAGAAGTCAAAACAATAATCTTAAAAAAAGAAAACAGTTGTAATTTAGATCAAACCAAATAGATTATATATTCTAAGAAAACAGATGATATATTCTAAGAAAAGTGCTATATTTAAAAAGTGCTATATTTAACTGAGAAGACTTGGTTATCTATTTTATTACTAATGCTTGAATATGTGACATGATAGAGAAAATGACACTGGTTTAAGGCCAAAATGGGAGAACCTCATAGAAAAGAGAACTTGCTGGAAATACAGGTGATTTTTCTCAAGCCTGGAGACAAATCACTATGACAGTGGGACAGCAAGTTGTCAGTCACATATTATATTGGAATACAAGAAATGATTCCAGCTCTGCAGAATTGAAGGTTTCATAAAATAAATCAATATTTGTTGTTATTTTTAGCTATAATAATAACATTAATTTTCTTCTTCACAATTCCATAAAGTTCTAATTGTATTCATGTTCTTTTTATATATGGAATCTTCCAAAGAAATGCCAATAAATTTGGTGCTTTTCTATTAGGAAATTAAGATTCTCTAAGTTGCTTTATTAATACTGTATATGTATACTAAGCTGGCTTACTGCTATTACAAAATGGTTATTGGAAATGGTTTTCTTAAAGGAGGAAAACAACACTTATATTGCCAAATATTTCAGAACAACTCTTATTTCATTTTCATTCTTCAATAGACATTTATTGGCCATTGACTATGCTCCAGGCCTTATAATATGTGATGTAATAAAATAGCAAACAAACAAATGAAGAAAACAGACTCAAATCTAATAAGCCCAACATTTGTCCTCAAGGGTATATTAAAGTATCATCTCATTTTTATGTAGTATTTCCTTCTATTGAATTTGATTTTTTTAGGCATTACAAAATTGTAGTGGATCACCTTCCTGGGTAGGCATTGACAGACTGTGGGCCAATAACTGATCAACCCGTTACTGCCTGTTTTGTAAATACTTGGAACACCGGCACACTCATATTTACATGAGGTTTATAGCTCTAACGGTGATATTGAGCAATTGTACCACAGATGGCTGTGGCCTGCAAAATCTAATGTATTATTAGGCTTCTTATGTTATAAAGGTTGTAACAAGAACTTTGTCAACCTCTAAGACAGAAAGTTCATAAATTGAGAATTGCTACTATAAATGTAGCATTTATGGATGCTTGGAAGTACTTCCTCTGTAAATTAGTAGTTTTTTAGGATAAAGTTTATAAATAGGTATTTGATGTTTCTGTTCAAAATGTGTAAGGAAAAACAATTCGCCATTTCCCCACATTCATTTATGTTAGCTGGGGACTTGCATTTGGACACAATGCACACTTCTACATTTACTCACGTGGCACAAAGAGCAACTCCATTTCCTTGCGACACACAGGGCTCTTTTTCCTCGAGTTCTGGGCAATCGTTTTCACTCCCAATAGGAAACTGCCTGATGGTCCGTGTCCTTACGCGCATGCCCGTGGGGGATGCGGTATTGTGGCATGTTGTTGAGCAAGGGCTCCATTCCGACCACTCTGACACCTGGCACTCTTTGGTGATCACACAGGACTGGAAGGTTATTGGCAGTTTTTCTTGCTGGCAGAAACTGTAAAAGAGCATTGAGATTCTCACCATAGACACTCAGGCAGTTATGAATTTTGTCTTGCATTCTATAGAATAAAACGGACGTGAACATTTTTATTTCTAGGTGTTATAATTCCAATTTCACTGAATAGATACCAACACAATCTGTGAAAACAGACTGGTGCTGCTGGCTCATGGTTGGAATTCTAGCTGCTTAGGAGGCTGAGATCTAAAGACTGTAGTTCAAAGCCAGTCTGGGCAGGAACATTCAGGAGACCTTTATTTCCAATTAACCACCGAAAAGCTGAAAGTGAGGCTGTGCTTGAGCAAAAAGCTCAGCGACAGTGGCCAGGTCCTGAGTTCAAGCCCCAAGAGTGGCACAAAAACAAAAATACGAAAGAACAAAAAACCTTAACAGACTCAAGGATTACATTTGTATCACCTCCTGTTGGGAAGAGTTGTTGAGCCATTGTCAGGAAATAGAGAATAAAAGGGATGGTGATCCTTTGGCAATACATATAGTAAAATGAGAAAATGAAGGAGATAAAGTAAAATCAACTGAAGCTAAGTGTACAGTACTGTTTATTTTGCTCATCTAGATCTGGTTTAATTTAGAAAATGTGATCAGTAACAAATGTACTCACTACCTCACTTGTGTAACTGTAACCCCCCTGTACATCACCTTGGCAATAAAAATTTTTTAAATTAAAAATATGAGAAACCAAAACTGTGAACTTATGTTAATTTCCATTCTGTGTAAGGATCTAAATAGCAATGTTTGGCTAATTTTAATACTGGTTAACAAAAAGAAATAATATAAGAGGTGCTTTAACATTATCTTTTTTATATGTTTCTATTGTAAAAATAGTGTACAGAGTGATTACAGTTACATGAGTAAGGTAATGAGTACATTTCTTATCGAGTGTTATTACCTCCTCCTTTGTTTAATCCCTTACCATCCCTTCCCTCCCCACATCCCTAACTCTTCTCTCCCCTTCCCCAAGTTGTAAAGTTCATTTTCAACATAGTGTCTTGTACATCTCATTGTTACAATAGGTCAACCTGTATCCTTATTTAAGCATTTTGTTATTTCCCTTCCCCTCCCCAAATTAGAAAAATGTATATACAGGATGCAGGGCACTGACATCAAATACAGTGAAAATGGGTTATACCGTGGGGGAAGAACACACAATAGAAACCAAAAAAATCACATGGTACATTTTAAATGAGTTAAAAACAATGCAATCAAGAAAAAAAAACAGTTGTGTCCCTATCTTGGGGTTCATTTCACTTAACATCATCTTATATGAACATTATCTTTAATATCCTTTGAAACTTTATTTGTGGCTTATAAGTATAAAATGTTTATTCAAATACATAAATATTTCTCATTCATATTTTAATAATACCGTATGTATGGATATACTGATTGAAAAACACTATCATTCTTGAAAATTTACATCATTTAGCTCTATCCTATGCATGTATACCTAAATATATCTAAAGTATTTATTTCATTAAGAACATATATATGTTCAAATTCTTTCTTGCCTTCTTCATTGGATTACAGTAATACAGATTCTAATGATAATATATATATGCAAAATAGAAGACAACATTATAGACGTCAGTTTCTAACAGAACATGCACTTTTAGGAATTTTCCTAGTTGACTGGACTATTGGTGACTCTTAGTTGAATTCTTAACCTGTTTCTATAACCAAGTGTGTGTGTTTACACAGGCAGTCTTTTGCCAAGATGTGTCATCTGCTCCAATGAGAGAATGAGCTGATAATTCTGTCTCATTATTCAGGTGTTATATTTATCTGTGGTAACTAACCATAGAGAGATAGAAGTCCATTTTATTGTAACAGCTCACATGCAGTCTTCTTAATCCTACTGTGTTTGAAAACTTCATGCTGTAGAGACAATTATAGCAAATTATCGAACATATCAACTATGTTTCTAGGTCATATTATTTATGATAAAATGACCCTTTTGGATAAATGGCACCTGCCCTGGGAAAGTTTAGGCAGAGTTTTGAGATTCCATGAGTATAGTAACTTTTCAAATAGGTTTATCTCCTGTGGGAATGTAGAAGGCTATCACTATGGAGTTGCTTCAAGAGATATATGTCCCTTTGTGAGCTAAACTCTATAAGCCAGGGACATCTGAGTCTCACTGCATGGATTTCTAGGAAAATTCTCACTAGACAAGGGATTTCTGAAACTATAATGGTAACAATATTCTGGTTGTTGCTCTACAGCCTTCTAAACAGATGGATTCTAAATGTGGCTTATTAAGAGTTTTCTGAGTCTTATAACAGGATCTTTGGGAAAGTCTAAAGATAGCTTAACTCATACTATTTAACTTGCCACTCTCAGGAATCCCTTTAGATTTGTATCATTATTAGTTCCATTTTATTGAGAAGCAATATGCTAGAGGTGAGGGAAATGGGTGAGCATCATATTACTACTAAGTTGTGAGCTGGAATTTGAACTTAGATTTTTGTAGAAGCAGAGCTTTATTGTCCCATTTGCCCTACCTCTTACCATTTGAACTGTTGTAAATCGCTTTGTTACAGCAACCTCTTCAGCTGAGGACAGTGTCAAAGTAATTGACACTTTCTATCAACTACTCTTCACAAACCCAGGCTTTAAACCTTCTATGAATGCAACAAATGAGCTACTGATCCTAAGAAAACTTAGTAAATAATTACATGGGATCAAAACAAATGTACTTCCTTGATACATATTAATTTTCCCCCAAGTGAGAAAGTTGAAAAAACACAAAAATAATATTTATATGATTATGTATTTATAATTTATAATTTATGTATTGTGTTCCTGTGAGAGAGCATATGACTTTCCAATACACCAGCATTTCAACAATTATATATTAAGTAGCTGTAGTATGATTCAGAAATGCCAAGGCAAGATTATAGTAATTAGTTTAAAAGTATATAATTCTCTCTCTCTCTCTCTCTCTCTCTCTCTTTCTTTCTCTTTCTCTCTGTCTCTGTCTCTCTCTCTCTTGATCTGTCTTGGGGTTTGAACTCTGGGCCTGGGTGCTCTCCCTGAGCTCTTCAGCTCAAGGCTACCACTCTACCTCTTGAGCTACAGCACCACTTCCAGTTTTCTGGTGGTTAATTGGAGATAAGTCTCACAGACTTTCTTGCTGGGACTGGCTTTGAACAACAATCTTCAGATCTCAGCCTCCTGAATAGCCAGGATTACAGGCACAAGCCACCGGCACCTGGCTTGTAAGTATGTAATTCTACAAAGGAAGACATCGGTCACATAAAGTAGTAGATTACCACTACTTATGTGAATTTTAAACAATGTTAGTAGATTTTTCTGCTCAAAATGAAAATAATTGAGATATCAGGTGAAATAGCACGTTAGGTAAGTAAGGAAAATATTTTTTTCCTTGACTTCAATGTAGGAAGCTTGTGATGAAGAATCAAAATAAGATGGTAAATAAGATGGGAACTAAAGCCCTTAGCAATAATTTAGGTCCAGCATTAGACCTTTTATGGATAGAAGTAACAGGGAAATATTAGAAGAGATAATATGATATTCACATCTTCCCTAGATTCTGGTGGTAGAGTAAGAGAATGGATCATTAGAGCCTAAGATTAAACAAGGTAACCAATCTGTAACAATATTAACATTTATAATAAGTAATAAAATGCTTGCCATGTGTTAGATAGTATCCTAATCTTTACACATATGAATATTTTCACACTCATTTTATTCTTCTTCATATGAATTTAAAGTTCTCCTTAAGCATATTTTTATTGTTGCCTTAACTTTACAGAAACATAGATACATAAAATTAAGAAACATCCACACATAGAAGTATGAGAATATGATTATTCCCAAAGAAACAGGTGCTGTGTGTAGTTCTTTTTTCCTAGAATATCTCATATCACCCTAAAATATACTTTGGAAGGCAGGAATACACATTTTATCTCTCTGTCTATCATCTATTTTTTGGTAATCATTTGCAGGAAGTTTCTAAGTGCATTATTATTTCTGTTTTTAAGGCTTTTTATCTAGGTATCTTGATTTAATACATGTGACTTTTCCTTCAGCCTTATTGAGAGGTGACTTTTTATTGGCAGGAAAATCAAATCTAAATGTCTCTTCCAAATCATATAGCTAGAAAATAGCTACCATTCCTTGCTTTATTCTAAACATAAAAAAAGTTTTTAGGGAGATAAGTGGAACAATACATTTTAGCTCCTTACACTTTGCATAGAACATTCACACTCTGGGCAAAAATATAGCAGGTGTTGCTTTTGCAAGGATGTCCTGATGAAGATGTTGTGGTCACTGTGGTATCTTTCTTTTACTTAGATGTATGCTCAGCATAGCCAGATGGCTAAGACTGATTAGAACAACACCTTGGCTTTGAGACGGAGCAGATGTTACTTAGTACATCATGTATCAGAGGGAGATAAGAACTAGATACATATTGGAAGAAAAAGGAAAAATACGAACTGCAAACTTTAATATTTGTATGGAAAAATTTCCTCCAGAGATTACAGAAGAGATATTTCTAAATATTATAAATTACAAACTTTGTGTTTGTAAACTTCATATTTCAAGTTGGCTAATTAAGGTTATACTAAACAGTAAAGAATGCCAATTTAGGGCTGGGAGTGTGGCTTAGTGGTAGAGAGCCTAGCATGCATGAAGCCCTAGGTTTGATTCCTCAGTACACACACAAAAAAAACCAGAAGTGGGGTTGTGGCTTCAGTGGTAGAGTGCTAGCCTTGAGCAAAAGAAGCTCAGGGACAATGCCCTGGCCTTGAGTCAAGCCCCAGGACTGGAAAAATTTTTTTTTAAAAAAAGAATGCACATTTAAATATTTTCCTAAAGTATCATAAAATCTATGTAAACTACCTTCTCTCTAAGTACTACATGTTTATTTTCCCAAATGTCACTATCATTCCTTCAGTTATTAAATCAAGACTTCCAAGAATCTCTCATTTGCTGAAGATCAAATGCAAATTTTC